TTGACATTTTGAAAAATTTTTATTGACCAGTGTGGACAGGGAACAGGAAGCCAAATCACTTTTGCAGGCAACCAGCATTCTAGTCCTTGCTGACCTTTAAATGCCACTTTGTGTCATCAGAAAGCCAAGGCAACGGTAATAATGGGGGTGGTGATGGAAGCTATTTTGAAAACAAACATAGCTGGCTTTTGGCTTCACAGCCCGACCCTTTCTAGTAGGGAATTATTATAGTAAGACTTTCTAATACTACACTTACTCTCACATACAAACACACACGCACTTTACTATAAATATATCATAGTGTGATAATCTATATATCTTAGTTTTAATGTGCGTAATATATGTGTGTGTGTGTCAGACTAATAAATTAAAGCAAAGTATTAATATATTAGAAAAACATATATATGTAGATCTATCTATCTATCGAGAGAGATATCTCTATAGAGAGTCTGTCAATTTCTAGGGTGTATTTTTGATGTGGTAATTACCTTGCTCCAGAAGACTAGTATCTTGTGTGTCAGTGTCCCCACACTGAAAAATGGCAGCAGGGGCACTTTTTTTAACTAAAGCTTCTTTGACAAGCAGTTAAGTCATGAAGTCAATGTTAGGTCCACTTGAATAGTAGATGCAGGATTACACTCAAATCAATTAAACTTGTACAAATAACATCTGAGTTCATCTTCACAGTACCTGCACAGTATCAGCCTTCACTAAGCTATCCAAAATTTGTGTGGTATGTCTTCTTACTAGCATCTTGCTAGTATTTATTCAGAATAATCTATCTCTTCATGGCAGAAGCATTGGTGGATTATTTCCTGAAAACTAGGCAGTCCAGCTGTGGACTTATCCATTCTGTTTGGCTATGATTACTGATGCCTCTGCTACAGTTAGAGAGCCAAAATACCAAGAGAAACTTCTTCAGGACCAGGTTACTACAATACCAGTATTTTGTTTGAGGTGATTCCTGCTTTTAGCCTACTGTATGTATTCTACCTTTTTTTTTGCAGTCTTTGCTTTGCAACATTCCAGTTGTTGTAGAATTGAATGTGATATATCAAACCAAGAGATTTTTTTAAAGTTCGTATTTGAAGCCAGTGAAAGGTACCAGAATGACATTACAGTACTATGGCACATAGTGCCCTGCCCACAGAACAGACGTAACAAAATAAATGTAACATATAACTGGAGTACATCCATGTATGGGTATAGAAAGGATGGAAAGGGTAGGAGAAAAAAGGAAAAGATTTTGCTATATATAGTGCAGTACAAACTATTCAGAAGATACGTCTGTTGAAAACCTCTGGGTAAAGGTAAAAGCACAGAGTAATATGAGGGATTTCATGATGGGCGTCTGCCAGCAAAGTAGGAGGATGAGGTGGAAGAAGCCTTCTTCAGACAGCTGACAGAAGGTTCCAAATTGTGGAACTTGAGTCTCATGGGAGACTTGATTAGGACATCTTCTGGGAGAGAAACAGAGCAGTGTACAAGCAGTCCAGCAAAACCCTGGAGAGGATAACTTTTTTTATACACATGGTAGAGAGGCCAACTAGTTGGGGGGAAGCTCGTCTTGATTTACTGCTCACAAATGGGAAGGGATTGATTTAGAACAGGGGTGGGCAGTTATTCTGGGTGGAGGGCCACTGAACAAGGTTTGAGCTTTTGAGGGCCACATGGGTAGCCCCACCCCTTGACAGTTGCCCTGCCCCCTGATTGCCATCTTGGGACCGGAAGTCCCACCCCTACCCTCTGATCTTTGCCACCAGAAAGTCCCTCCCCTTGCCTCCTGGAAATACTCTTTTTGGGAAGGGAAGTTGCTATCTTAGAAGCAGACAAAACTAAATCATACTCTAAAAGTTAAACACCTACTATAACATATTTTAATTTTATTACAAAAAGTATTTTTGCTGTGATTTGTGTTTCCATAGTGTATATAGAGGCGATAGCATAATAACTCAAAAATAGATTCTTAATTTTGTATATTGTGTGGGTGGGTGGGTGTGTGTGCAGGGGGTTCGTAAGGGAGTGTGCCTGTGTGTGGGGGTGCATAGGGCATGTTGGAGGGTTGTGGGGGCAGGATGTGTATGTGTCTGGCATTTGTGGGGTGTAAGGGAGGATGGAGGGGTGTGAGGACCCCCACACTCCCCCCATGGCTCAGCAGCAGGCAGGGGCACTCATGACCATCACAGGCACTGGTGCCCAGCAGTGCCTGGCTCTGGCTAAAACTACACATTGTAGCAAGGGGTACAGCCTCTGCCAGGCAATCTCTATTGCTGGTTCTCCCCATGGTGCATGCGCAGCCTCCACCAGACTGTCTCTATCACCAACACTCCTTGCCACGTACACGCAGCCCCCACACTCATGTGCCATGGGAGGAAAGCCCCACATGGTAGAACTGGCTGCTTTCCTCACCCCTGGACCTTCAGGGAGCGGCACAGGGAGTCGGCTCCAGCGTGCAGGGCTTTCCCCCCATGCTGTACGAGTGAGGGGGCTGCACATACATGGTGGGGAGCACCAGCAATAGACATGGCCTTTGAAGCTATGCCCCTTGCCGCAATGTGTAGCACTGGCCAGAGCTACAAACTGCTGGGCACCAGTGCCTGCGCTGAGCACGAGCAGCCTGAGTGCCCCTGCCTGCTGCTGCTGCCGCTGCCTGCCGGAGATGCACTCCATGGGGGGAATGTGCGGGCAGAGGTCCCCACACCACCCACACCCTGACCTGCCAAGTTCCACACTGCTGCTACCTCCCTGGGCACAGGCTCCATGTTGTCACTAGCCCCACGCTCTGCACTCCTGCCCAGCTGCAGCTCTGCCTCCACCCCTGCCACTTCTGTCCCTGCTGCTGAGAATGAGCTGGATGCCAGGGAAGCTGAGCAGGTCCCCAGCAGCTGGACAGCAGCCCTGCCTGGAAGCTGTGTTGTAGCCAGGCTGGGCTGTTCTGCCCACAAGGGTGGGGGCAAGGTGGAATAGAGTATGTTGGGGGTGTGTGTATGCATGGTCATCTTGCTCCCACCCTTGTGGGCAGAAGGGCTGTGTGGGGTACAGTTTGCTGGGGAGCGCCACAGGCCAGATGAAAGCACTTGGCAGGCCGGATGTGACCTGTGGGCTATATTGTGCCCGCCCCAATTTAGAATGTGAAGGTGGAAGATAACTATGAAATGATAGAATTCAAGATCATAAGGGGAAAAAGGAAGGAGAGCAGCAGAATAAGAACACTGGGCTTCAGAAAAGCAGACTTAACAAACTCAGGGAACTGGTGGGCAGCATCCGCTGGTGACAAGTCTGAGTGGAAAAAAAGTCCAGGAGAGCTAACTGTACTTTAGCAGGACCCCTTTATGGGTACAGGACCAAGCTATCCTGATGTGACAGAAGAGCAGCCTGGTTAGACAGCAATATCTTCAGTGAGTTGAGACTCCTCACTGCTGCTGCTCCGTCCAGCTCTACCAGGCCCCCCAAAGCACAGGGCCCAGGGCAGTTGCCCTGCTTCGTGCCCCACTTCCCCTCCTGCCCCAGGACAGCCCTGGCTGTAGGGGTTTTACTCATTTAATTTTGAAAAGGATAAATGCATGCACAGCTTTGAGAGTTCAGGCTAAAAAAGACAAGGTTGAAGAATTGCCCTCTTTCAATTGGAATAGAAATGGAAAGGCGTACACAGCTTAGTCCCTATCATTGTTTGTTCAGTTGTCTCAGACTGGGCCCCAGGAAAGTTGTATTTCCTGGACACACCCAGGTGGTAAAAAGTTCAGTTGTACCTGAGGAGCACAGTTAACCAGCAGTGGTCTTCATCCTGGTTTTTTAGGTGGCCTTTTAGATAGCTGTGTCCTGGCTATAATGAATTGCCATCAATAACTCACATCATGTTTAAAAAAAAGTTTTGTGAAATCCGCTTCAACTCGTGTCTTCTTCCTCTCCTCCAAAATGCAACATCAAGATTTCATTAAGCTAAAAAAAATGGTTGACAAATTATGTAGAGGAAAAATCATTTCTAAGCAACACCAAGGAATACTTGATAAAATTAAATTATAATCATCGGAGAAATGCGTAAGTAATTTCAAGAGATTTTATTTCCTGACTTCTCCTTTTTGCGTATTTGAATATATATTAAAACACAAAGATCTATACCCACCCACTCACAAGTTCCAGACCACACACATGCACACAAAGGTTTAATTAATGCCCTCATACAACACATTGTAATTAACTAAAGCATTTCGTCTGACTTTATGGAGCTTTGAATCAGGCCCTAAGAGTTGTACAGTTAGGCACGTTCATCATATACACATAGAAACAGGCCCACTTTGGTTCTGATTTACTTCTGTGTAAATCCAGAGTGATTCCACTAAACTGAAGTCATGGGAGCTATTCCTGGACAGGTTCAGTCAGTTCTTGTCCATTCCTCTGTAAATGAGGAGTGACTATTAAATGAAAATTGCATAAGTGAGAAGAGAATCGGGCCTTTTGGATTTTCATTGAGGGTAATTGACAGTGAAATGTGTACTGGGATATAACCTGCAGCATATAATTTATCGGAATTATATATGTAATTCTGATGTAAGAATAAATTGTGCCCTCAGGAATTACAAATATGGCTTATTATTCATTATACTATATTATATTTGGCTGATTCTGATGATACATTTGAACAGGGTACACTTTTTAAATAGAAAAAAATGGCTTTCTAAAGAAGTAGGAATTGCCTACTTTGATCAAGTTCCCATCAACATTACTGAACATTTCTACCTGTTTATATTATCATGTAGGTTTTATCTCTTGCAACTCTCACTTCATGCCAAAGAGGTTAATAACTCTTAGTTGATTTTTTTTTTTGTTTGTTTGTTTTAATGTCCAAATTGTATACAGTTTCCAGTGCGGTGAGCTTGGCAGAGGAACACGCAGTGTTATTTAGAGCATAGTCTTAATTAAAGGCTAATCAGATACATTTTTTTTTCTTGTTTCTTTTTCATAGTGTATAAAAAGTGATCAAGTTGTCCATCTGCTTGCAGGGTTTTTCAACTGCACCAAATTCCCCTTCGGTGATGTCACGTTCCATTACACTGGGTCCATCACAATCTCTTGGCAACATATCGGGAATGACGGCAAACCCAGAAATCAAGAAACGCAGAGCTCCTCCTCCTCCCACAGCGACACCGCAGTTGCAGGACACAGAGAGGAATGGCCAAGAAAAGACAGCAGCCCAGGTGAGAGCCATAAGGAAGAGCAGTGTTGCTGCATAGACTGACTAGAATGGACCCATAATCTGTCTAAAAACAAATTCCCAATGATTGGGTGATTTGGTCAGCCATTATGTCCAGCAGCCAGTTAAATGCCTTACATCAGTAGTTCTGTTATTCAGGAGTTCTCTCTTCTAGAGATTTGTATATAGTCTCTCTGGTTGCTGGAATTGCTAGAGGCCTAAATCCACTCCTAATTGCAGGAATCTTTTAAAATAGCTGTATTTCACATGGAAACCATAACACACTTATTCAGTATAGATGACAATGAAAAGAAGTTCAAAGAACTTAAGTTATAGAAAAACAAGAAATATGCTTCAGAAATGCATTGAACAAACCTGGGTAGTGTTGTTTGTTTGTTTCTTGTTTATATAGTGTTACTGGTATGCGTGGCATTGTATAGGTCTGAAAAAAGACATTGTACAGGTGTCAGGTTTTCGTCCCAAAGGGCTTCCTGTCTGAAAGTTAGATTAGTGTTTATCCTATATGCATATGCACAGGCCTGGAAGACAGCTTGAGACTTTAATACCTACAATTTTATGAAGCAGTGGAAAACTGAGGAAAGAGATTGATTGTTTTGGTATTATATGGTAAGGTAGCAACAGGAGCATTGTTTATACAGAAACCCAAACAGTTCTAACTTATCTCCATGCAGATTATTCAGTTTGCTGTGAAAATGGAGTAAATCTCAGGGTGTACATTTTTTTCTTTAGTTTATGGGAATGAATTGGCATTTTTTTTATTATTATTTTTCAGGGAAGAACGTCAATTCTTTATTAATGGACTTCCTTCCATAAAAAAGATAAGATGTTTGTTTAGAAAACTTTATTTATGTGCAACTGTTACTAACAGGAAGATCCTGAAAAAGGAGAACACATTTATTTCCAGTGAGGCTAGCACATTATATAAAATAAGAGTTTTTTTTCTTAACCTTAGGAGGATTTTTGTCTTTGAAACTGAATCTGCTTCCCTAAAAGCCATGTAGAAAAGCAGGGCCTGTAAGTGTCACAGGCCCTGACTTCCCATTTTTTACTTACTCCAAAGCTTTAGGATATTCTGTATGCAAAACAATGTAGATAAACCTTATGGTGATATTTATCATCTACCTGCTCAGTGACTGCATACTCTGTAAATGCCCTGTGCATCAAGATTGGAACATATTTTATTAATGCTTTCAAGTTTCTTTAGTTGTATTTCCAGATGGTCAGATACAGTTAGCTGTGTACAGGATAACTTATCTCAGCTCCCATCTCTATGAGTTTTATCATGCTAATTGACTTCTCAAAAAGAAAGAGCCCTTTGATAACCTTCCAGATACTTGCCCCCAAAACTGGCATATGAGTAGTTTTCCCTTGATCACATTTAAAAGAAAAACTCCCCTAGAAAATATTCATTTGCATTCAAAGCACTATGAAGCAACATTCCAGACCATGCCAAGTCTGCACCAAATAATTTAAAAGGGGAAAACAGAGGGGAAGTCCAAGAAGGGAAACCAGGTGTTTCTTCCCCAACAGATCATTCTGTCTAAGCATCTGCCATTTACTGCAAATTATTATGATGCAGAACTCCCAAAGCTATGTACCGTAATCCTGGAGCCAACGCTAACATCTTCAGAGCAGAGTCCAGAAGGAGGTATTACGTATCTCAGGAGTAGGGAAATTCTCCCCCTGCCTAGTCCTGACACGCAACAAATGTGCCATTCGGATAAGTGTGCCAGCACCTTAGGGAGACGATCTGCCATAACTCAACAAATGACAAAACTGTGTTTTTTGCCTACTCATGAGAGATCTTAGTGACCCATGAGTAATGGTGAGAATTTTGGAAGTTTTCAACCAGCTTACCCATTTATGAATACTTCCATTTTATTGGCTAAGTGGCCATATAGTCTTCTCAGCACTGAGCTGAACACAAAAGAGAGAATGTCCTTGTCCCAGAGCAGAGAGAAGTAGAAAGCCAAGAAACTGCAAAACAAAGAATAACTTTTTATTAGTTAGTCTCATTGTTTTTAATAGTTGTAGAGCCTAAACTTGCCACCTGGGAGTAGTGCCAGTTTATGGGAGATACTGTACAAGCAGACCTGCCCCAAAGTATATACATAGATGAATAGGGGCGGGGAAAAGTATATTCTCCCATTTTACAGGTGGGAAACTGAGGCACAGAGAGGTGAAGGGCCAGATCCCATTTCACTATAAACAGTTAAATGGCAAGGACATGCCTATGTAACTGCAGTGCCCACCACTTATGCACACTTTTGGATTTTCTTTTGCCCCTTCAGTGGTGAAATAAGGTCAATCTATGTTAGTATCTGCTGGAAGTTACAGGGGAAAAGTCTTCCCACTTTCTAGCATGGTAGTTAGGGCCTTGCCCCCAGAGCAGGAAACAGGGGTTTAAGGCCTCCTGCACTGAGAGGGGGTTTGAACCTGCCTCTACCTCCCAGCAAAGTGTTTGAGCCACCAGGCACTGCCAAGAATACTCTCTAGCTCTTCTCTTAATGCTGTTTGGGATTTACCTGGTGCTATATACATATACATGCATTTATCTGGGTGATTCTGTTCTTCCCTTCCTCCCTCCTGACACCCGCCCAATTGGAACACAGCCCTACTCAGCATGCTCAGTCTATGCTAAATCCCACATTGTGCATGAGAGACAAACACTAGAACTACATGGCTGGCACTTAGTCATGGGAAGAGGAAATAGGATCTGGCCCAAAGTGTGTTGCTTCAGGTCACACAGGAAGTGCGGCAGAAGTGGAAAATGAACCCAGATTTCCTGAATCCTACTTCAGCATTTTTAACTACAATACTTTTGCTGGGGGGTTACAATCTGGCTTGGGTCATTTCTTGTTAACAGTGAAGAAGTGAATCTTCTTCTGGGATTTGAATACAGGGGCCTGCAAGCAAAGCACAGGAAGCATTCAAGGCATGGGAAAGGAAATGGGAAAGAGAGAAAACAAGAAACAAGGCCTTGAGGGTTTTCTATAAGGACCCTTTGTACAAAATGCATGAGATTTATTCAAAATAAAACCATCAGGCTTTTAGGAAACTTTTTTTCGTTTTTAGGAGCAAAAAAGAGCCCTTTACCTACCTAATGATCTGAACATCAATGCTGAAAGGAAGTTGTTAACAAGAGCTACATACTGCATTTGTTGCTTTGGATGTTAAACTCTTTTTCATAGCAAAATATTTAGTTTGTTATTAGCCACTTACAGCTTTCTTAATCATAGGATAAAAAGGGAGAAAGATAAGGCAGCACATCAGAAATTGACATTCCCATGTAGCACCTTTCATAGCACCTTTAATCTTAGGTTAGGACATTAGTTGGTTTAAATGGGTACAATAAAATTATTTCAGTGGAGCTGTATTGTAGACATCAGCTGAGAATTTTGTCTTCAAGGTTCCACTTTTTTTTAAATCCTCATATTTAATTACCTTTTTTTCCAAAAAATAACATATATTTTTCTTTCTCTAAACCATTTTTCCATGCTTACCTGCATTCACAGAAACCTTTAAGATTACTACTGTCCAGATGAAGTATTGTAGATGAATTGATAGGGGTTTCCCTGGTTGGCTCTCATTAGGCCTCAGACCTGTACCACTGAAGTCAATCAGAGGATTGCCTTTGAATTGTGTGGGAATAGGATTAGACATTTCGTAGCAGACCTTTCATGCACCCACCACTTAGGCGTGTTTTTAACTACACAACACATATAGTTTATTTGACCCAAGGGGGCTGCATATATGAGTAAAGTTGGACATGTATATTTGCAGGATGAAGGTCAAATATATTCAGATACTTCCTCAGGGTATTGGAGGAAAGTTTTAATTCTCCTTAATTGTTTTACTGTGTTTTTATGCCTAAAGAAAAGGTTAGTCCTGAGATTGTCACTGCTATGTAAACCAATGTAAATTAGATCTTCATACAGACCTCTTTCTGAGCAAGCAAGTTGGTTAATGTTAAAAAATTGCCACGTTTGTTCTAGATGTACAGGTAAGTTTACCTTGGTATTTGCTGTATTTCTTTTAATAGGGCACAAGGCATACAGAGAAACACAGGGGGAACATTGGTATTTAGTTATCTCAAACAATTAGCAAGTTCCTAATCCTGACCTCTGGTGGGTTCTTTTTTTAAAGCATCTGTAGGCTGCTGTTGAAAGCAAATCACTTTTTAAAATATGTGATATATCCATCCCACTTGGCATGAGGAGGTGTTCTAGTGTGATACTGTGTGGTTCTGCTGCAGTTAGAATAGCAAGGTGAAACACCTGTTGTTTGGAAGCTTGCTCATGCTTTATCCATAGAAGGGCAATTTTCTTTATACAAGAGGAGTTACCTGTTACAAATAGATACAAATAAAGCAATCACCCTCACAGTCCAGATCTTTTTGAGAATTGCTGCTCTATGGAGTATTTTACAGGGGGACTTCCTCCTGCAAGAATAGCAACTTGTGGGCCATTACTGATCAACACAAGTGGCAGCAAACTTGAGGATACTATAATGTATGTTGGAGGTAACCTGTTACAGGATACAGGACATAAAAAACAGCCTGTTTCCTCTCTTATCTTTGGATGTTGTTCTAAGTGAAAACTGGCTAGTTCCAAGAGATCAGCCTATCTTTGTTATTTGTATGGGGCCTCTGTAGAGCAGTCTTAGGACAATGGTGCTCAACCTTTTGGTTCTGCAAGCTGGATGAGTGGCACAGGGCTGATCTATAAGCCAGATCCACAGGGTTGGTTTGTGGATTGGGCCCTGTGCACCCAGATCCTACCTCACGCCACCCAGTTTGGGCTCCGCATGCCTGGATCCTGCCTTGCGCTGCCCAAATGAGGCTCTGAAAGCCCAGATTCCAGCGCACGCTGCCTTGATCAGATCCCATGTGTCCAGATTCTACCTCATGCCACGTGGATCAAGCTCTGTGTACCCAGATCCCACTTCACACGGCCTTGATTAGGTCCTGTGTGCCCAGATCAG